TGTGTGTGTGCGTCTGTACGCGTGCGCCCGCGTGCACTGTGTTTTTACATCCTTACACAATTCTTTAACTTCTAGAATGTACTTTTGAAAGTCTGAACCTTGTTTGCCAGAATTTCATTCCAACATGATCAAAACTGCCCATCCACCGCCTTCCTTCTTTCCTTGTCCGTTGGACATATTCGACTCAGTCTACGTCCCTGGACGAAAAAGGGGGGAGGGGGTTACAATGGTTGACAAAGGGTACCTGAATATTGTACTAAATATTCTTGCAATATTACAAGAGACACGCTAGACACATGGGGTGTGGCACCATCCCACTGGAAACAGGCCTCTTCCGCATCTCGTATAAAACACATTCTCATCCGTAAACTTTTCCAAAACTTTCTCAGCACAGTGAGATACCCATATTATGAAGTGACTGTCGTGGTTTTTCAGTCCAGTCCTTACTCTGAAACCAGACCGGGCCGATCACTCTCCTGTGGTTGCACGCTTTTAAGAAGTTAAATGTTCAGTTTTACCAAATATTGGTTCAAACTTTAAAAACTTGATACCTGTCGAACACGCTCATAGATTTTCTTCATATTTACAAAGCTTACTTCCCACTGGTAGCGTTTTGTTTGTTCTAAGTTTTGTTAAAATGAATACAAAGATGAGCTTGTCATTGCGTATTACGTGGGTCCTTTTTAGACATCCTGTACCAACAAATACACATGTCTAATACGAAAAAAATCATTTAACATGACACTGGCACCCAAAAGGGGAAACAAGAGAGAGAAAAAATTCTTCACACATACTTGACATATGGAGACCTTGTAAAAATTCACGACTGAGCTCATTAAAATAGTATGGACGGGAGATGGAGATGTGTGTTGAAGTATTTGGGGGGGGTTGGGGGGAGGGGGTTGGTAGAGAGAGCTGTTCTCTGGTTTCATTCCGCATATCTCACAAGCCATCCATCCAATTTCCTTTCAAACAGACTACGTGTACTTTGCCAGGCTTTAAATCGATCCAAAACCCCCGCAAGTCTCTGACCACCTCGTTCTATCTGCGACGGACTGTATACATCTACCATCATTTCTCTGTCTCTACTCGTCTTCATCTGTCTTTTTCTCTGTGTATTCCTGTCTCTATCTTTTTTTTTTTTGTTTCTGCCCTATTTATCTCCTCCTTCATTTCCCATTTCTTCCGTTAAGGCACCCTGTCTCCATTTTTCTATCGATCTATCTGCCTGTCTGTTATTAATCAAGGACTCTTCCAAGGTGCCCAAACAAACACACACACACACACACACAC